CTTTTCTGACACAGCAGGCCGTTCTTGGCTAGTTAGACGCCCTCCCATGCCTTGGACAATATGTAGCTTAGCTGACACGGGCCAGCTAGAGAGGTTGATGAATCCCCCTCTTCGTCCACCAGTCATTTTTCTATCCAAAGGCACATAGGTTGAGAAGGGGGACCAAGTACCACACCATGCTAAATTCGCCCTTGTCCTCTTTGCCAAGCAACCTTTCTGTCGGTCAGGACATCAGCGATTATCCGAATTTTTTGTGAAAAGCACTGCTTGCTGTTTTCAAATTCCCAGCCCGTGTGTCCGCTGCCCCACCATACGTCCATTGTAGGGACGATCCCAACACCCCCTCTTCTTGGCGCGATGCATAGAACTGCATGCGTATTCCTTCCGCGTTCGACGACTGAGGGCAGGCAGTGAAAAAATAACAAACGAAATAAATCAAGACGCCCAGGCCTTTATTGCCACCCGCTCTTTCCACCGGTGGCATATGCCTGCTGTTGGCAAAGAATAAAGCTCGAATATGCTCAGCAGAGGGGCCTGGCTAGCTAAGCATACGGGAGGAAAGCACAGACATCCCCTAGCAAACAATAGAAAATAGTGTGGCAGTCCGAAAGAACCTTCCATCAAGCTCACTTGGATAGCTGGGCAGAGTGCACAATAAACAGAGGCCCTGGCATAGCAAGTGCGGGAAAAAGCCATGTATGTGCGGTGCGGAGTTGGCAGAGTTGACAGAAAATATGGAACATTCTATCCTTTGAACCCCTGGATTACCCAAGCTGAGCGCAGGTGAACCTACCTTGTTACTGAACCCACCTCAAAAAAGAAGCTGTAACCGCTTGGTAAATGCAAAGAAGTTCTATACAGAAAAACGAAATAAAAGTTAAGGATGGAGAGGGCGAAAGCGATGCTCCCCAGCCGTCGTTTATATCAGAACCTGCCCCTCTTCGTGCAGCACACGCTGCATTGGTTGCCTTCACCGCTTTCCCTGTAGATTACAAAACCACTGAATCGCCAAAAAGGAAAAACAAGAATACAAGCTGGTTTCAAGTGCGTGATTTTCCCTCCTGCTTCTGAAGCAAATAATAGAGAGCAAAGAGCGGCAACTTGCTAAATAAAGAACCGGCCCCCTTGTTTTCTGCGGGCATCCGTGGCAATAGCATTTGCTGTCGTCTTGGCAAACCTGCATCCATTCAAAAGCCGGATGTGCCCTAGTAAGGTGCGACAGGGGCGATTGATGACTAGCAAGTCCGCTGAGAACATGCGTTCCTGATGCCTCAAAGAGAGCAGCGTCTTTGTGCATTTACAGCTCTTCGTGATCACTAGCACCTTCACTACAGTGCAAAGTCAATGCAATACACATCACTGCAAAGCCATATGCGCTTCTTTTATTGATATCCCATGGAAACTGCACATACAAGTAGGATGCACATGTCTCTGAAAGCAAAAAAAAAAAAAACTATTCATTGGAACCGCTACCAAAGAACGCATCTAGAATTTGCTGTGCTGCCTGGACTGCCGAATCCAAATCCACCGACTCATCAGCCATGCCAGGGGTACAAGTATAACCGCCTCTTGGAGCCAGTGCACGGCACTCAAACCCAACACTCAGCATCCGGTGCGCTTTGTCACCAACAGCGCTATCAATGGCTCGGTCCAGCAACTCCTTCGACTGCGAATACCGGCCTTCTGTCCACGCATACACCAAAGATTTGCCCTTGGGAACAACCATGGTGGCACTCGTTAGGTAGAGCATAGAAACCACGTGGCTACCCTCGACAAAGCTCAGCATGCTGGTCGTATCTTCACCTAGTGCTGGAGAATCCAGGACTGTGAACCTGCGAGCGACTGGTACTTCAGTCTCGGATTCTGTGGCATCTGACAGGTACGACGGATGCATAATGAGGGATTTCGTTGTTACCCTGCCATGACTCAACTCAACTACATAACCTGACTCTGTCTTCTCAATCTGCTTGATCGACTCAGACAGGATATATGTACCGCCGGCGACTGCACATGAGCGGCAAAAATGCCTGCGCGACCTCAGCCCCGCTACCATACATAGAGCTCAGGAACGCCATGCGGCCATAACGCCCTATCGACTTTAGATACTTCTCCACCCGTGCACACCCCTCGCTGACAGAAATCGGACGGGTCGCCCGTGCCACGGCATACAGAACCGCGTTCAGCAGACTACCATCAAGCTTGAACTGCTTCTTCAGAAGATCGCCAAAATCCTCGTTACCGTGCTCACTGGCCAGCTTAGAGACCTGCTCCGGATCACTGATTGTTGTCAGGAGCCGCATCAGCTTGCGCTTCTCGATCAACTTCAGGGCAGTGCTGGCAAACACCTCCTCCTTTGAGTCCGGCACCCGCTCAACGCCAGCATCAGTCACCAGCAGATTCGCATCGACGCCCTTGAACTCCATGTACTCGGCCATGCCCGCTGCAATCAACACGTCGATAAGCGGTCCGCGGCAGAATGTGAGCTTTGGTGCTAACTCGAGTGCGTATCTGCGCGACTCGCCTGCCAGCCTCTTGAGTACATCAGAATTGCTCAGCTGTTCCAGCTGCTCGCTGCTTAGATACTCAGATAACATCGCCAGGATCTCGCCTACCTGACAGCTGCCCTGTGCTGTCTCTGGCAACAGATTACTAGCCGAGACCTCGCCGCTCTTGCGTGCGCCAAGCTGTATCTCAACATCACCAATAGCAATGTCCACTACCGGGACCTGACTCTGATCTCGAAGCCTAGTCGCCCACTCAATGAAGCCGATGAGCGAGAAGCTGGCGTAGTCGCCACCGTAAAACGGGTTTCGGTCAATATGCAGCACCTTCTTTTCCGCGGCTGCAATGTCACTGGCCACGATCGACTCGACTAGCCCCGTGCCCAGCACAACAGCGTCGTACTCCTCGTTATTCAGTGTGTTCTCCTCTGCCATCCTTTTTCTTGCCCAAACTAAACTATTTAGCAATAATACACATGGATGCGCATTACAGGGCCGCTCCCATGCATAGCGGACATGTACAAACCACGATGGCTTAGACTATGGGATTGCCATAGCTGCCATTTTTGGGCTGCTCGTTTATTATCGCCCTCTCTGCTGCCTTCACCCATGCTGTCCGCTTTTTGCAGCTAGGAATCCTGCCACTGCGTCACTCCAGCGCCCCGTATTTTATCCAGAGCTGCCAATTTAGCCGCCAAGGGGGCTTCGCCAGTACGCCACCAGCTCACACTATGCTCTCTCGCTCTACACTGTATGCCGAAGATTGCCAGTTCGCTACGTATCTTTTGGATCATGAACAAGGTGTTGATCTGACGCCCCATGCCAATATATTGTGCATATGCGAATCAGGCAAGACATGCGAATCGGTCGCTTGTGCCTGCATGCATAGCAAGAGCAATTAGACCAAATTTGGATCCGGCGAATTTGCTTGTAATATGCATTTTTAGAGAGAATGCCGATGGCAAACTACAGCAGAACAACAACCCTGGCGTACCGTGTGAACTAGCCAACAGACAAGCTCCTTGCAGCTGTATCCTGCGCGACAAAAGCGGCCACCTCAGTAACGCGGCAAAAGACATGGCACTTTCCCTCACTACCTCCCATAGCATGGCCCTTCGTCTACCGGAGCTTTACTGTCTTGCAGCAACAGTAGCAGCAGGAACAGAGGAGAGCCCGCTCCGCATACTACCCCTCTTAACAATAACCGAATCGAGGGTTTACTGGTGCTGGGTGTATGCTGAAGTGAGTGTAAACAGTGGGCTTTACAGGTCTCGCGCATCATGACTGTCGGCACAGGTTTGTATTTATGCAAGCTGGCAAATGATTTATGAGAAATAGCTACTGAATATCTGTATGCGTGTTGTTGTCAGAGTTTATATGTACATCGTGTAGAGGCTGCCTGGACAATGGTTGGAGCTAGTAGTCAAAATCGGCGGGCGGTCGACGAGGGGTAGGATAGTCGCGCTTAGGCGCCAGATCGGAAATGGTGGGGTAAACACTCATGGTTGCTTCTTGGTTTGTTGTGTGAGTGCTGCTGTAGCAGGAGGATCCGTGTGCTGCTTGGAGAGGTGGGGAGGGAAGGAAAGTCAGAGGGCAAGTGTGTAAGGCCGAGTGAAATGGAGACATGCCCGTCTCTTTTATAGCATGCTCCACTCAGCTACGGCGGATAAAGCCTTCATGCACCTGTGCGGCTAAAAAAGTAGCAGTTAGGGGGTGGGTGTAAAGGGTGGGTAGCCAAGCATTCTGAAATCAAGCTGCATTCCTCATGCATTGAGGCTATTCAATCGCCCATCAGCAACTGCCCTTTTCGTCCATGTGCCAGACACTACAGCGAGATGTAGAGTGGGGACTGTGGGGACATGAATAAAAAACCGCTATTGCTGACAACAATGATCACAAAGACCTGGGCGTTAATTTGATGAAGAGCACCAAGCACTGCATTCGCTGTTTCTGAAACAGGCGCTCTACTTGTGCCCCCTGCCGAGCTGTGCATACACCCTTCCCTGGTATGGCACAAATCGCCTTTTCCTTCGGCAGCTAGTTGTCACAAGCTGGCTGTGATGGCTTGCATGAAAGTAAGAGATGGTTGCCAAAGCGGCGACTCTCTCACTGCGCACTTTGCTTGGCCATCCCCGGATTGCGGATATGGTCGGAAATGTGGTTGCCGGATGCACCATTTTTAACTTCCGAGAACTGCGCGCGCTGGGAAGAATACTCTTGGGTTCCTGTACTCCGGAGTCAGTAACACATCACACGACCCATTCACCTCTATTCCGGGGATTGCTTTCGTGTCGGCTTTTTCAACTTATTCCACAACCCGTCACATGAGCAATGCTAGTAATGCTTGAAACTGTAGCCAGAAGCGAAGCTGCAGTCGCGTTCTCCGTGCCGGGCATGTTTGGTGGCCAAGTCTTTGCCCTGGCCTGCTGGTCCAAGAGGGGGGAAATAACCAAACCAAATAAGAATACATTGCAATTCTTGGCGCTCGGAATAGACTCTGGGAAATAGGGCTCATTCATTGTTACTAATAATAGGCCTGATTGTGGCCTAAACCCGGCTAAGAAAAAGCCAAAAATGTGCGCTCAGGTGGTGAGAAAATTGGCCGAGCACCTTTTGTTGTGCCGCTAGTATGTAGGTCCTGGCCGTTGCCAAGCCAGCACTCTAACAGGCATCAGGAAAAGGACACCCTCTACCACCTGGTCGGCACAGAAGGATTGAATAGCGTATTTGGCAATACCGGCTTGAGGGCTATGCTCCGGTACAAACCATCCGCTGTGCTCGAATGTACTACTGCTTCCAAAGGATAATGACACACAAGGTGCGGAGGAATGGAATTTCTTCGGCACTGTCAGCATTACTGCGCACAGTATGACACCCTGTCTTGGCAACCGCCGAAGGAACAGGCAGGCCTGCTAACATAAAGAGCACTAACTACATGCATGTCCAGTTTTAGTCGGGAATGGCTGGCGAAAACAAGTGGTACTTCCGGTACAATTAGCCAGGTGTGACCTGAATAGCGCCAGAACTCACTGAGAATAATATGTATATTCATGTTAGAATCAATATTAAGCACCCAAACTACTTTGCCACAGAGACAAAAGAGCCTACAGGCTGCTACTTGTAAAGCGAAGGTGGCTCCGTAACATCCTCGAACATGTCGTCATTATATTCTTCGTTGTCAGAATCGTATTCCATTTTACTAATAGCGAATGTGATGGGGGTGTGAGTTACAATGTGAGGATAGGATGTTGGGAAGACAAAATTGCTCAAACGACAGCAGGATAGCCCCTTTTATATCTGCTGTGCACAAAGTGAATGCCAATCAAACAAAGAGCACAATAATGCTGTTGAAAGAAACACACTGCCAATTCGACTTTGCGGATATATGCCTGGCAGGAATTCGAAATGAACTATGATTACCTTTGTGTCCTTTCTAGCATTCATGGTATCAAATGTTGAATGCTTGAGTTCATTATTGTCACCTCAGTAGTATGCAAAGATGAGCACATCCTATACCCTACGATCTCGTAGACTTATGACAAGCTCTTTCTGGCAAAAAAAAAAGATATTTACCAGCCAGGTAAACGAAAAAGAACCATTCATGGCGACAAGTAGCACTCTGGGTTCAAATAATAGCAAAAAAGCATGTGTCACAAAAACATGCAAAAAGTGAGCTCTCCGACCGGGAATTGAACCCGGGTCTCCAATGTGACAGACTGGTGTACTCGCCACTATACTATCGGGGATCTTCAACTTGTTGAGAAGTGGAGGAAATAAGATATATATAAAGTACTGGTTTGTGGTACAGATAATCTCTTTTCGATACATCTGCTCAGAGCGCAAGCAGTACCGCAGAAGACAGACCCTAGTTACTTTTGCCATGACATGACATGACATGACATTATATGACCAGCCTATTCATGGGATTATTATGCACTTTTCCAGTGCTAGTAGTTTATGTATGTCCAATTCTATTTGATTTACTTCATGCTCTTTTGCAATATTGAGAATCTGGTGTTTTGTTTAATGCAACTACCTCCACTTGAGGCGGTGAAGCCACAATGCAAGGGCATATGTATCTGTCAGCTCAGTGCTAAACCCAGTGCTCCCCAGTGCACAAAAGAAATATAGAAAGAGTGAAGCCGGTTAGGACTAGTTGAGACAATTAGGACAATTAGGACAATTAGGACAACAGGATAAGTCAGTTAGTGGCGCAGGACTACACAGACACACAAGCAGATCTTACTTGGGGGATGGACCCAATTGTACTGGTGCTAGCTGAATATTTGGATTCTGAGCCACTAGTCGTCCACTGCGATAGGACTCATGTATATGCGGTGCACTGATCCACAGCAACACAGTTGTTTGAGTATGAAATTAAGAGGCCACTGATCAGAAGTTGGTCAGCTGAATGGCTTTGAATCGGCGACTAAAGCGTCTGTGGTCCAGAGGTATGATTGCTCCCTGCCACGGAGTAGACCCGGGTTCGATTCCCGGCGGACGCACTCCTTTTTTGCTCACTCGTGCATTCCTGTTTTGAGTGGGTGGCTGCTCACCGCTCTCGCTGAACTTTTTGCTCTAGCGAACAGTCTGGTTTGTTTTGGCTACTGTGACTCCCTTGAAATTAACTATCTAGACTGTCGTCTCTTTTCCAAATAGTGGCTGGTGTGGTCTCGATAGCACTGCACTGACTACATGTTGAGTAAAGACTAGTTATGATTGCGCTGCTAGGCTAAAAGGATGTTGGTTGTATCACAAAGCAGGATTCAGATGATGCTGCTTTGCATGAACTGTATATTAGGAAAACAAGAGCAGAAATACAAAGAGACAAAAGTTGCTGATGCACTAATTCCTCGAAGGAACACATACTTCATCTATTCCTATCCTTGCGATCATGAACATACATCGTACATGTTTTGTCAGTAAGAACGAATGTTGGCTTCGGCATTATTGTGAGTTTCTGATGTCTGCATCATGAGGGGTAGTATGCGGGTTTCTGCATATACTAGACTCACTAATCAAGTAGACCTGCTACTATCAGTGTTTTTGTTTGCTCATGGCTAAGCTTAACAAAATGCTAGTGAGTGGCACCACAACCAATATAGTCATGATGACTCAATAACATCCATTCATAGATGTTGCTTATATATGCAGACACATCGAGGAGCAAGCACAGAGAGACAGAGACAAACCAGTTAGATCGCAAAGTACATCATTATATGGGATCAGGCTTGCAGTACTGTCGGTCAATATAGGAGGAGATTCATCGTAAGCACGAAGTCATAAACATCGCACAATCTTGAGTAGTGAGTTGCACCCTACTTGGGAGGATTGAACATGTTATTTGCTTACTGAAGTAAGCGCAGGTATAAGCCAGTGGCTGCCCAGTTGCCGTAGATGAAGCTGTAGTGTATGGGCACGTGAGACTAGCCACGAGGGAACAAAACACACCCCCAGGACGCACAGATAAAAGGCCGTAGGTGACAGAGATACAGATTGTTTCCACAGTTTTATTCTTTTACTCAAAATACAAACACGTCAAAGCAAAAAGGGAGTATCCATAATCCCTTTCAAAACACAAGGAGGCAGCAAAAACAGGAGTCAGAGGCTTAGGAGTGCGGGGTGTGTGAAGGAATTGGCCAGAGAGAAAATGGGCAAAAAGCTAAGGGGTGTGTGAATCATCTCTCCTGCAACCCAGGTTTGATTGGGTTAGGTTATGAATGTGTTGTGCCTGTGATCTGTGATTCGCCACTGCGATTTTCACAATTTGATAGGCAGCACCAGGACAGGATTCCCTAGATGGATGAGGGGAGGAGCGGGACGGGGGCGGTGTGGATTGTGTGAGGAAACAAAAACAAAGAAATTAATATGCGCATAATGGGCACGCACTGCTGCAGTGACAGGCGGCACCAGAAACCGGTTTAGGGTGCTGGGTCTAGGCCGCAGTGGCATTGACGAGGGAGGGAATGCATGGGTATGTCTACTAAGGAAGCAAAAGCCAAACAGTATTTTACTTCTCTCCTCCTGATTATTCTCTTTTGTTTTTCTTTGCGTTGTTGTATGTTTTATTTAACTTTGACCCAGCTTGGGGAGTTGTAGGTCACAAGTATACTTCAAACTGAGAACTCCTAGTGGGTACCCTTCTCGGTATGTTTTGGTTCCTGGCCTGTGCGTATGTTAATAATGTTTGTTCTCTATCCAACATTGAGAAATCTGGATAGATTGCTCGCAATTGTTACTTAGATGTGCGGACCTCGCCGTGGTCGTGTTGTACATGGGGGGGATACAGCGTGTGTGCGTGCGAATGACACTGCTTCATTTGGGGTAGAACTCAGAGCGGATTCGGTTCAGATCCTGGTCCAGATTCGGTGATTCAGCCCGGCTAGCTCAATCGGCAGAGCGTGAGACTCTTAATCTCAAGGTTGGGGGTTCGACCCCCCCGTCGGGCTGCTCTTTTGCCATTCTCCTTTTTGCAAAAAACGGAATCAATCGAGGTGGAACTCGGTGTTTTTTTTGGCTGCGGAATGTTTCGATACGACAATGCTACTGCGCTGGATTTACACGTTGACAAGTAAGTTTTTGATGGTAATAGGGTTGAAGAATATTGCAGGGATACTTGTGCTTTTTTTTTCTTTCACAGCTAGCTATAGGGCCGCAAGCAACTAAATGCAAGAAAACAGCAAGCATAAGTGATGAGGAAAGGAAACGTCCATATTCTGCACCTGCAGTATATTCATTGTGAGGGAGAGTTTACTGGCATATCTAACTCTGGCATGGCAGCTGAAGGACATCGCTAGAAAGGAAGTAGAGGCAATGCGGTTTGGATTCAGTCACCCCAAAGTCGAGTTAGTCTGTTTCAGATTGTTGGGGTTGAAGGTGCGAATGAACGACCCTGCCCTCCCCGAGACAGAACTCAACCGGAAATTAGTGGTTCTGCCTCTGGCCGCGTGGCCCAATGGATAAGGCGCTTGACTACGGATCAAGCGATTCCAGGTTCGAGTCCTGGCGTGGTCGTCAATAGAGCAGCTTCTACATTTTATCATTTTGCACCTTGCAAAGTGATCTGGGTCTGAGCCAAACGTCATCGCTAACCTTTGCATCAACCATTAGAAAAAATAGCCCAGTTTTTGTAATCTTGCAGTAATCACTTTTTAACTGGTAAAGATATTTCATAATGATCTGTTCGTTCATCTTTGACCTTGGTAACCGGGGAATGGGAAAGACAGGAAAGCTGGAATGACAAAAGTTGTCAAGACACTGATTCCTTGATGAGATGATGTATCTTGACTGCTCTATTCCCCTGCGACCATGCTCAACACCTACATCAGATATTTGTGTAAAAAGTTAGGCTCTGGGTATCGTAACAAAAGACATGATGCAGCTAAGCAAACAATCCATAGTCTCATTGTTCATATACTTGCCCAGTTCCGATCCCTTTGCATATATCCCTTTCAAACATATGCTTATGCTCTGCTCTCGGCCAACCGTATCTCTAGAACTGGGTGATATAGATTTACTGCTAAGCACTATTTATCAGTAAGCTATGAGATAGGTGTGCAAAGTGGTATGTGTACGATTCATGAAAACAGCTAGTAGGTTAGATAAAAACAAAAAAACAAGCGGAACTTAGGAACCAAATGGCAAACAAAGGGTGTATTAGTGTATGTTAGGATCTGTTCACCTAGAAGATGAATGGTTATCCGGTATATGGAAAAACAAATTCTCAAAAATATGTGTAAGGGAAGAAGGGAGGCTGATCGGCTGTCTGGGCCTTTGTACGTGTGTGTTTCAGCCTTGAAATTCAAGATCTGGAGTCTCCCCTGCGCCACCATGAGCAACAAGATCGACACCAACAAAACAGAGCTAGCACGATTGGTGAGTCTAAAGTACAGGCAAGTGACGCCGCAATCCGCATAGGATGTAAATAAATTTGATTGTGATCTGTACATCGATACTGTTGGTAGCAAAAAAAGAGAGAAGTCTTGTAACTGTCGCCTCAGCATCGTCGACAAAAGCAAAAAAGAGGGTTATGTTGATCAGAGTGGGATTCGAACCCACGCCTCCGGAGAGACTGCGGCCTTAACGCAGCGCCTTAGACCGCTCGGCCATCTGACCCTCACTAATTGATTGTTATGTCGGTGGCAGAGGAAGCAACGGAGTGGAACTCGGGGCTGGATGGACTACTTGCGGACGTGTCCGAGTCGGGTGA